TTTACACTCTTTCTGACCCAGTAATTCTGAAAACTTATCATAGAAATGTATCACTGGGAAAATTAATTCAGCGGGAAAAAAAAGGTCCATAAATGAAAATGTTCATTACAAACTTACTTATAATAAAGATTATGGAGCTAAGACGCAATTCCAAAACCTAAAGGATAGATTATCATCAGCCGTTGAAAATTATAATTATGAAAACTTTAGAAATACTGTAGAAAAAGTTAGACTATCACAGGAAAACATTATACTATGATGAGTTTTAAAAACGAAAGTATATAAAAAGGATTCCTGTGCGTGGACAAAGACAGTAAAAACACAACAACGGGGAACTCCCTGGCGGTCCAGTGGTTAGGACTCAGCACTGCCACTGCCGAGGGCCCAGGTTCAATCCCTGGTCAGGGAACTAAGATCCTGCAAGCCGCACGGCGCAGCTGGGGGGAAAAAACAAAACAAAAAAAAAACAACACAACAACAGAAAAGAGTGCAGTTTCAGGATGCTGGGGTTATAACTGTTTTTCAAATTTTCATTTAATGTTGTCACAGCAATTAGATACCAAACTCCCAATTATGCAAGACCTGTGTCTGTTGTAAACTTCAAATGTTGACCTTTCACTCAAAAAAATATCTGTGTGGAATAAAGATGCAGACGCAGAGAATGGACTTGAGGACACGGGGAGGGGGAAGGGTATGCTGGGACGAAGTGAGAGAGTGGCATGGACATATATACACTACCAAATGTAAAACAGATAGCTAGTGGGAAGCAGCCGCATAGCACAGGGAGATCAGCTGGGTGCTTTGTGACCACCTAGAGGGGTGGGATAGGGAGGGTGGGAGGGAGACGCAAGAGAGAGGGGATATGGGGATATATGTACATAGATAGCTGATTCACTTTGTCATAAAGCAGAAACTAACACACCATTGTAAAGCAATTATACTCCAATAAAGATGTTAAAAAGAAACACCACCTGTGTGACTGTCCTTAGGGCACTGTGCTGGAGGGCACACAGACACCTGAACCGTGCCCCCGGCCCCCTGGGAGCCCAGCCACTGGGGATGTGTGGGGGGCGCTGTTTCCAAGCAATTGATGCAGAGGAGAACGTGGCCACAAGCAGACCATTGCTATGAAATCTCAGAGGATGGAGAGCATATTCTGGCTGCGGGTGAAGAACTGGCCTGGGGATCACAGACGCTGAGTGAATGAAGCCGTGTGGGAGGTGGCCAGTCAGACGCCAGCGCCGGTGTGGAGACAGGGCCCAAGGAAGGGGAGATGTACAGGACGCTCAGAGCGCAAAAACGACAGCCGGCCGGGACGCCACCGTGCCGATCCCAGTCCAGCCACTTAAGCTTTCATGACCTTGGACAGATCCTGGGCCTTGGTTTCCTCTCCATAATAGAGGGATAGTTATATCTGGACGGCCGCTTCACAATGGGAGTGTGACACTGTGATTTATAATAAATATATATTTTGGTCTTTATCCCCTGTGCTCACAGCTTCCTAAGCCCTAGGAATTTTCTGAGCCATAAGAGCCACTGAGCATTTTCGGAGCCATAAGACCATCTTTTGTTATAGTATTTGGTCTCCTGTCCTCAGTTCCTGAAATTGCTTCAGAGCCATAAAGGTGACAGGAGTGTCGTGTTGTTCATAACAAGCCCCTTTCAACCACCAGTGAGTTTATGTTAATGAGGTGACTTTTGGAAAGCTGCTAAAGATAGGGCTGGTTGCCCGGGAAATCACCAGGAGTTAGGGTTGGAACTTTCAGTCCTACCAGCTGACTTCCGGGGAGCAGAGCGGGATTGGAGGTTGGATCAATCACCAATGGCCAATAATTTGATCAATCACGCCTATGGAATGAAACCTCCATAAAAATCCAAAAGAATGCAGTCTGAATAGCTTCTGGGTTGGTGAATCAAAACGCTTTCACAGGGCTTCCCTGGTGGCGCAGTGGTTGAGAGTCCGCCTGCCGGTGCAGGGGACGCGGGTTCGTGCCCCGGTCCGGGAGGATCCCACATGCCGCGGAGCGGCTGGACCCGTGAGCCATGGCCGCTGAGCCTGCGCGTCCGGAGCCTGTGCTCCGCAACGGGAGAGGCCACAACAGTGAGAGGCCCGCGTACCGAAAAAACAAACAAACAAAAAAACGCTTCCACGCTGAGCCCAAAACTCACGAGGACAGAAGCTCCGTTGTTTGGGACCTCGCCTTATGTATCTCTTCACCTGGCTGTTGATTTGTATCCTTTAACATCCCTTATAATAAACCGGTAATCCAGCGAGTAAACTGGTTTCCTGAGTTCTGTGAGCCACTCTAGCAAATTAGTCGAATGCAAGGAGGGGGTCGTGAGAACCTCTGACTTGTAGCCAGTTGGTCAGAAGCACAGGTCGCAACCTGGACTTGCTTAGGCATCTGAAGTGCGGGGCAGTCTTGTGACACTGAGCCCTCAGCCTGAGCAATCTGATGCTATTTCCAGGTAAACAGTGTCAGAATTGAATTGTACAGAATTGAATTGAACAGTTCAGAATTGAACTGTTGAATTGTAGGGCAGCCAGCTGGTGTCGGAGAATTTCTTGGTGGTGCGGGAAAACCCACACACACAGCGGAACTGGTGACCAGAATTGGTACCAGAATCGTTAGGGGGTAAAAATTCAATGAGGGAGCATATGCATGTGTACAGAATTGTTATCTAACACGGGAAAGATGGGCAGAGATGGTACCCAATGAATGGCAGAAACACAGCCCATCGATGCCATCTCCTCCAAAAGCACAGATCCTGTATCTTTTCTTCCTTTCCAAGCCCATTCCTTTCCCTCTCTCACTCCATTCTCTTACCACTCTTGATAGTTTCTTGTTTTATCATTAGCTCCTAAAACAGAATTAGTGCCTGGCTTCTGCATCTCCCACTTCCCAACCACGACTCCCCCTTCCAAAGGCTTCCCAAAAGGCCATCCCTGAGAAGAACAACTATTCCCTCCCATCCTCTGGGTCAGGGAGGGCACGAGCTGGCAGCTGAGAAGACAGACGTCCAGAAGCCTCATCCACCGTCTCTCTGGATTATCACAATACCTTGAAACCCTGTTAGACTGGGAACAGAGCAGAGTGGCTTCTCCCTGCAGAAGGTAAACAGGTATCGGACCACTTTGCTCACAGAGTCCCGAAGTTTCTGGCTGTCTGCTCCCCGATTCTCCATCCATCACGCAAAGTGACTGAAGTGGCAGGTTTTCCCAGAAGCCACGGGATGAACATTCAAGAGCTATCTGCGATCATCTAGCTCAGGGACAGGGATTGGGAAGGCAGACACACGGAGTATCCCACCCTGAGAGCAGGCTTCCACCCCCATCTCCCAGGCACCCGGGCACTCGGCTCACGAGCTGAGGCCCCAAGTGGTGCTTGACGTCCCTTCCCATCCCCCACGCAGCCCCACCTCCAGAGTTCCAATACTCACAGGTACATTTTCTCCCTGGAGAACGGGTAGGAGAGGTTTTTCATCCTGTCGTTACTGTGCTCGGGCACTCGGGGCTTCAGGGGTGCGCTCAGCTGCTGCAGGATCTCGTTGAACGTCTTCGCGATGCTGTCTTCTGACTTGATCACGTACCTCTACGACAGCAAAGCCACGGGTGTGAGGAGGCGGCCGCGTCCAACGCTCAGAGGAGAAGGACCCACAGCCAGAGCTGCAGGGGGCTCAGATTCCCCCCGTAAGGGACACTCTGGGGAGAGGACGAGGCTGGGGAAGCCAGCAGGAGGGTCCTACCCTTCCTTCCCTGCTTTCACAAGGTGGTGAACCCCCTCAACTGTTTGTGCGAATGGAGGTGACCAGTGCAGGGAAGGAGGAGCGTGGTGACGAGTTCAGGCTTTCTATACATCTTTGTTGTATCATCACCGAAGACCTACTGTGTGACCGTCACCATACTAAGGGCTTTACTCAAATGAGCTCCAATGCACACTGCACCCAGCCAGCTAGATGATGTTACCCTCCTGTTATGATGAGGAAATTAAGGCTCAAAAAGGTGAGATGAGTCAACAAAGGTCACACAGATAGTAACTGGGCGACTGCTTGGATCTAACTCATGTCAACCCAATCCCAAGTCTGTACTCTCCAACCAGACCACGCCCCTATGTGACGATCCAGCATCACTTCTCTTGTGCTCTTCTTAGGAGACATCTGATGAGTCTGCTTTCAAAGTACTAAGCACCTAGTGAGTACCTGCCTCGAGTAAAGCACTGCGTCAGTACCAAGATAATCACTGGTATTTATAGTACCTATGGTTTTTCATAACGTACAGAGTGTGTGTGCATACACTATAGCTTCTGGTCTTTCTGTTACGGATGTTGTCATTGAGACACAGAGGTTGTACTTTGTCACAGCAAAGCTCTGGTGGATTAACAATGGCCACAGATTTTTTTCTGCACACAACTTCTCCATTCAAGAGGTGGCATCTCTGTTTCCACCCCCTTAAGTCTGGACGGGCTCTGGGGCTGCCTGCCCAGGGCAGCAGGAGGGACACTATGCCAGTGCCACCCTTTAAGAAGATGGGCAGCTTCTGCCTTGGTCGGCCTTGGTCTCTTGAAGCTCTGAGCCGCCTGCAGGAAGTCTGAGGAGACATGCGGAGAGGACTCAGACAGGGAAGGGACGAGGTCGAGCCCAACCTTCCGCCTACCGTGCCAAGCCATCAGGCATGTGAGCGACATTCTTGGACACTGCTGTCCAGCTCAACCCCAAGCCAAATACCACCAAATGACCCCAGTCAACACCACGTGGAGAAGGATCACCCCGTCTAGCGCTGCTCAAGATACTGAGCAAAAATTCGTAAGACAGAATAAAATGGCTGTGTCTTGCTGACTAAGCTGGGGCTAATTTGTCCTGCTGCAGTAGATGACCATTAGAATAAGAGTCACAGCCAGACCCTCCGACTGGAAAGCCGGCTGTGTTCTCTATCAAGATATCCTTAAGATGCTTAAATCTAGAGAGGCTGTAAAACATGTACAAAACATTTGTAATATTGATGGAGATAAATGCCACAAAAGACACTCAAAATGCTTTGAGGGCTCAAAGAAAGGAGACAGCACATCCAGCTGAAGAATCAGAGAAGTGCTTCCTAAGGAGAACGGCGTTTCTGCCGGGACTTGAACAGAAAGGTAACCTGCTTTTGTTTTTCTGTTCTTCAATAAAATCACAATAATCAGTGGGAAGGGGGAGAACCTCCCCAATCTAACAACTGAAACACAAGCCCAGTTTACTTATTTCTTCTGATACACTTTTTCTATGCATGTCGACTTAATTTCAATCACAAAATTAACACAGTTCTAGTAAACAAAGAAGTCAAAACCAGGGACTTCCCTGGCGGTCCAGTGGTTAAGTCTCCACGCTTCCACTGCAAGGGGGGCGGGGGGGCCCGGGTTCAATCCCTGGCCAGGGAACTAAGATCCCACATGCCATGCGGTGTGGCCAAAAAAAAAAGAGACCAAGACCAAAACGTATATTAACTAACGTTAACAGCTTCCTTTCACTTCCAATCCCATCCCAGCCTCCACTCCAGAGGAAATCTCCATTCACAATTTGGAGTATGTTTTATACTGACTCCCTCCATACGTATTATATGTAACTGAATCCCTTTCCAAACACACCTGTGATCACACGTCACAGGTACGATGGTATAATTCTACGATTTGCTTTTCTCGTTTAGCAATATATCCCGAGTACGTGTCTTTCCAAGTCAGTCCACGTACAACTACCTTCATGAAGGCACCATATGACACAGTGGGTACGAGTTCTAATTTGTTTAGTCACTTCCCTAGTGACGGGCATTTATTTTAGCCTCTACACGTGTTTTATCTTCTTTGATCATACTTCTATCAGCCTCACCTTATACATACTTTTAATGAATCAGGCTCGAAGAGATGTCAGCAAAGACATTCCAAGCCAACCAAAAGTGTAAAAAAAGTTCAAGCTGGATTTAAGAAGGGTTCACAGGCTGTTTCTTTGGTGCTCGGGTTCTGATGGGGGAATCGTGACGGTCCACGGCAGAAAGGCACACGGAGACCAGTGCGTGGAGACCCCGCTGCACGAGGCAAGGGGAAGTCACCGAAGGGTGTGAACAAGGACAACATCAGAGCTGTGAATCAAGAAATTCATCAGGCGGGGCTCTGCACAAAGAAGGAGCCACAGCCTTCTGAACCGAGGGGACCGTTTACTTCTGGGAGCACAGACCATTTCTAAGCATCTCCTATGCACCTGGCTTGATGTACATCAGCACTGATCTTAAAGACGTGCCTCTAAAAACCGAGAGGGGTTGGGCTTCCCTGGTGGCGCAGTGGCCGAGAGTCCGCCTGCCGAGGCAGGGGACACGGGTTCGTGCCCCGGTCCGGGAGGATCCCACATGCCGCGCGGGGCGGCTGGGCCCATGAGCCATGGCCTCTGAGCCTGCGCGTCTGGAGCCTGTGCTCCGCAACGGGGGAGGCCACAACAGTGAGAGGCCCGCGTACCACAAAAAGAAAAAACAACGAGAGGGGTTAAGAATCTCAGTTGAGATCACACAGAGCGTGTCAACCAGATAATAAGTGCTGGAGCCTCGGGTCCTCGTGGCAGAGCCTGCGACCTTGGCTGCTTCACTCTACTCTTCCTCTGCCACGACGTGAGTGATCATCGGGGAAGAACCGTGTGCAACTTACTCCACTGCCCTTACTGTCTTAAAGCTCTTGACCTCCTGCCATCGGTCACTTAGATGCAAAGAGCTCACCTCTGGGGCACCCTTGGGCCTGGAGGGACAGGGGCAGAAAGATGACCCCTTCACCGTATCCCAACACATCTCATAGGTCATTTAGGGCAGGTCCCAACCGGGCACATGTCCGACAGCGTGTTCACCATTCCTGTAACCATGCGTCTTTAAAGGGCACGTGAGTGGCAATTCAAGTTTCAGAGCAGGAAGGAAGCTGACTGGCTCTGCATCCTAGATGCCTTGGAAAGACAGACTTGGACCGACCGAGGGTGTTTCTCCTTTGTCCACTTCTCCCCATGTCCACCTCTGGTTTCCTAGTCTGAGGAGGCTTCAACTTCAGCAACAACTGGCTTCCCACCTCTCTTGCTTAGGGCTGCCAGATTTAACAAATAAAAATGCAAGAAGTCCGGTTAAATGTGAATTTGAGGTAAACAATAAATTTTAACTTTTAATGAAACAATTTTTTCATTAAAAAAGACAACCGGGGCTTCCCTGGTGGCGCAGTGGTTGAGAGTCCGCCTGCCGATGCAGGGGACACGGGTTCGTGCCCTGGTCTGGGAAGATCCCACACGCCGCGGAGCGGCTGGGCCCGTGAGCCATGGCCGCTGGGCCTGCGCGTCCGGAGCCTGTGCTCCGCAACGGGAGAGGCCACAACAGTGAGAGGCCCGCGGATCGCAAAAAAAAAAAAAAAAAAAAGACAACCGGAGGGCATACGCACATAAAAAAAAAATTATACTAGAGCCACAATAATTCTTTTGTATAAGTATGTCCACTGCAGTACTTAGGACATACTGATGTTGATACTAAACAAAGTATTCACTGTTTATTTGAACTCTGGCTTTAACCAGGCATGCTGAATTTTATCTGGCAACCCTACTTTTGTCCACCTCTAATACGGTCTCCACGTTGGAGCCAGAGTGATGTTTCTGAAGCAAAAATCCGATCCTGTCACCTCCCTGCGTTAAAGTCTTCAACCATCACCCATTGCTCTTATGATAAAAACCAAAATTCTCCACACCGCCTGGGGGGTCCTGGAGAAGTCTGCACCTTCTCCTTGCCCCGCGGTCCCCTGCTCGCTGCACCCAGCCACCAGCCTCGGGCAGTACTTTTAGTACTCTATACCCTTCGCCTTCTCCCTCCCCCTCACCAACCTGTGTTCACAATTGAGTTCTCACTCAACTGTCACTTCCTGGGGGAAGACTTTCCTGGCTTCCAGACAAGGTCAAGTCCCATCTTCACAGCATTTCGAGGGCCCAGATTCCTCTCCCTCACAGCACTTATCGTAGTTGTGATTTTATACATTTATTTGAATGATTATTTGATTCACGTCCAGCCTCCCCACCAAACCATCTCCACGAAGGCAGGACACTGTCAAACCATCCCCCATGGTTAAAAGAACGAACGAATGATAAATCTCTGGGGACCCAGCACTGATGACAGCAGTTGCTGCCACTGCAGGAGCCCAGGCCGGGGACAGAACAGTCGTCAGGTAACAGGCCCTGGTAGAAGGAAACCAGGATGGAGAATAAAGCCACAGCCCAAAGCCACCAGCCGGCCGAAAGGTCTCCCGGCCTGTCGGCACCAGCTGCAAGGGCGCGCGGGGTTGCCCAGTCCCGGCAGAGGCCAGGAGGGCCTGGATTCAATCCATGCGGATTAACAACCAGCACCTGCCCCAGGGCCTTGTCCTGGAAGACGGTTAGCTGAGCACCTCCGAGCTGGTCTTGAACCTTCTCTTAGCAGTGGGTCTGGCAGAGCTCCCTAGAGAATCGGGCTAAGGGGAATGGGGCCTGTGGCATGTTTTTGGAGGGACCAGGGATGGGACCAGGATAAATTCTGACTATTCCCTGATGGGGGGAGGGGTGCTCCAAAGCCCTACAAA